CTTGTCTAAGAATACTTACACTCTGTCTATTAAAAGACTGGACCGAAAGGCGCGATAGTGTGGTTTGAAGGCGGGTTCTACTTATCTCATAAGTTATATTTATGCCCTTTGTGGACTAGGGCGTGAAAACGTATTACTGAGCTAACCACTGCTTGAATAGTAGTACCACTTCTCATGTTGCGTATGTCGACAATTAAACGTTGAGAATTTAGAACGCGATGGTGAACCCCTATGGCTATCATTGCTATTCAGTACAATATTGCATAGTGCTCTATTTGCTTGTGGTTTCATTTACGTTTTACGCTTTGTGAACCTCTAGGACTGTCATTGCTACTTCTGTACATTATTGCAATGTGCTCCATTCGCTTGTGGTTTCATTTACGTTTTACGTTTTGTGAATACAGAGCGCCATGTTTGTCGCGGCTGTGAAGCAACACACAACGGCATACAAGATCGGGCTGCAATTCGGCGATCAATTACTGTCTGTGAACGATCAAGATGTGGCAAACGTTTATCCGGAAGTCCTCATGCGTAAGTACATACATGCACAGAAAACGTTTACTGGTTGCGTGTCGCACATGATACATCATCTATGAGTGTGTGTGCGTGATCCCGTGCACACGCACACAGTTGTATATACCTACCTGATATATGCACACGTGTGTGCTCATATGGCGAGCTGTCGTGTGTAAACGTTCAGCATGTGGCAAAGTGGTGTACTTGGAAACCCTAAACCCTAAACAACCCTAGCACATGTAGTGCTCTGTAGTCATATACATGTAAATGTATATATACCTTTGCAATGATACACATTGTTTCTGCAGGTATTTCTGAAAGACTTGAATATAAGGGCTTTAGGAGGAACCTGTTGTATGGTAGGTGACACATATATACTATTAGATGGGGTTGCATATTGATGTACTGTCGAATGCCGTTTTAACGTATTGTTGAGCGTTTGAAAAGGCTTTGTACCAGCGTGGATAGTCTCGTTGTATATACTGTACATGAATGTGGAAATACCTGTCCACAGGCTTAAACCATGTCTCACGCATGGGCAGATATATACTTGTATTTCAGCAACTTTTGTCTGTCCGTATATATGCCTTCTCAAAGTATGATACGTGCATGATTTATATATATATATATATTAATACGATATGTGCGTAAGCATCCACTTTTCACGAGTGTTTATGCGTAAACGGGATACAACACGCACACCACTGTGGCGTACTTTCACATATCGATATTGACAGTGTATGCTAATTTAATACTAATCTTACTACAACCATACCTACCACAGAATACCTGCAAGACTGCTCGAGTGTCTCCCTGAACCTGTGTGAACAACCCCTCTCACGCGTGTTTATTCTTAAACGCGATACTTCACGGACCCCCTGGGGGTTTGCGTTTAAGAATCGCTGCGTGGCCAGTTTTAAACCAGACACACCTGCTGAACGGGCTGAACTTCCGGTGGGTTGGGGCATTGTATGTCTGAACGGAGAGAATGTGCTGATGAAGCCAGCCAAGGATGTCGTCAAGCTGATATCGGAAGGTATGAGTGACCTACTGTACTTAATTTGATGTATATGTATATAAATATATATGTATATGTGTATGTATGTATATGTATATGTATATATATATGTATGTATATGTATGTATATATATATGTGGGTGTGGGTGTGGGTGTGTGCGTGTTTTTGTGTTTTTGTGTACTGTATATATGCCATACACACCTTTCCAACCTACTTAACCAATAAGATAACATTTCCCATTCTTCTAAGCGCGTTATCATATTCTCAGCATCAACCTTCTCGGCTTCGCTCACTGTTCATGCTTGTTATTGGTCCACTTAAGCTCATTGCTGTGTCATGTACACCAATTGTTACACCACCTTCACATGCGTACAGGAGGTTACACCGGCATAAACAACTCCTGTCTGTTGGAGATGACCATGATGCCCAAAGAAGCCATGTTAGAGTTTAAGGTAAATGCATGGCCCGTTGTATGCAGGGTTTTAGGTTTTTAATGGTCTGTGATTGTTTTCTATCGCAATGTTGTAGTGGTTGTTATAATATGATATGGTGCGTTGTATGCATGTATTGTCTGTGATTTTTTTCTGTCGTAGCGTTGTAGAGGCTGTTAGGGGGATACTATAGTTTAGTCTTTGCCTACATATATATGTCCATGTATGTATATATATATATATACATATTTATATATATATATATATATATATAACATCGATAAGCTGGTAGCAGACACCATATGATCGGGTGGGCGTTCACATACCGCTGTAAGTTGTGCGTAGTTGGCCCTTTTCAACCGTTTCATTACAGACAGAAGCAAAAGGAATTGTGCGCGATTGGGTGCACCCTGTATAGTTTATATCTCACCTGGTTTAGGGTTTTAGGGTGTTAAGCCCTGTATGATATGTCCTTTGTAGTCGCGTATTGTGAATATCCACATGGTGTATAAAACCACAACTGATTTCTATGCTAATTTGTTAGCAAACCCCTTGCATTACATGCATAAACACACAGAGCCGCGTGTTAGTATATACAATATATATATATATTTATATATATAACCTCACGAATTTCTCTGCCGTTTCAGATTATGCTGACGTCATTAATCGAGGATACCGTCAACCCACACGAGAGGGTGCTGTTAGACGCCAATGCTCTCACATCAACCAATCGGGGACTAGAGCATGGCACCTCTTAGTCTCTGGCTATGACTACCATTCACATCACGTGTGGTGTCAAGGGAAAAAGTTAGCATGCGTCGTAGGGCTGTAGATAGGGTTGCTTCTTACCTGTCGTGTATGTCTATATGAGTATGCGTACATAAAAGTATATATGAGAGTTT